ACTACAGTGTAACATGACATATTTCCATCCTTACCTTTATGGGAATAGGTTTACCATCAGGACAGACCATGCTGCAATACGCTGGTTAAGATCATTAAGGAACTCAGAGGGACAACTGGCATGTTGGATCGGAAAGATAGACCAGTTTAATTATGATATTGAATATAGAGAAGGAAAATCTCATGGAAATGCCGATGGACTGAGCCAAAGACCCTGAAAAAATGACTGCAGACATTGCTGCAAATAAGAGATGCTACCAAGCTGAAGTCAAAGTGACTGAAGGAGTTGATGATGGTGGGGTGGAACCAGGTATAGATATTAAAGCAGAACAGGAGAAATATCAAGATTTGAAGCCAATAATTGATTTTCTAAAAGCAAGTGTTTTGCACCCTGCTTGGGAGAAGGTGTCTAGCTTAAGCCCTGTGACAAAGAACTACTGGGTGCAATGGGACCAGTTAAAGCTTGAAGTTGGTATTCTTGTCCAGAGATGGGAAACTGCAGATGGGAAAGTGGCGACCTGGCAAACGGTTATACCGAGAAAGTTACAGGAAGTTGTGCTGCATCAATTCCATGATAATTTAACAGGAGGACATCTCGGAATTAAGACGACATTGAGTCGCCTACAACAAAGATTTTACTGGATAGGTATGAGGCGAGATGTGGAAGAATTGGGCAGGACATGCAGTACATGTAGTGCTAAAAGGGGACCCAAACGTACGGGACACCCACCTTATGAAGAGTTGCCTGAGAATGTGTCAGAGTTTATGAAAGTGTTATCGGAAAGGATGGATGATATTCACCATCAAGTGTGTTCAAACTTGAAAACGTCTACTGATTGGATGAAGCTATCTTGTGATAAGAGATCTACTGAAGTCAGCTTTGAACCAGGAGACAAGGTGTGGTTGTATAATCCCAGGAAGACCAAAGGGAAGTCTCCTAAGTTGTCTTCTCCATGGGAAGGCCCATATGACACAGTGGATCGTCTCTCAGACGTGACCTTCCGGATAAAAGGTGGTCGGCGAGGTAAGCCAAAAGTAGCGCATGCCAAAAGGCTTTGGCATTATCATGGTCCAGGACATTTCAGTTGGGTTCATCTGCTTCATCAGGAAATGTCCTATCATCGGTAACAGTCACATAAGTGGTAATAAGTTCATCAAGAGCTTCACCATTTCCCTTCTCAAAACTGAGTAGAGTTTCTTCTTTGATGGTGGCTTTTTCAGGTGACACGTCAGGTCAGCGTCATTTGTTCTGTTGTCCACTTCGTCCCAACTGAAATGTCCTGGACCATGATAACGCCAAAGCCTGTTGGCAAAACACTTGCTTTTAGAAAATCAATCATTGGCCTCAAATCCTGGTCCCTCTCCTGTTCTGCTCTGATATCTATATTTGGTTCCACTTCACTATCATCAACTCTTTCAGTCGGCTTGAATTCAGCTTGATGGTACCTAATTAGTTCAACCTCTCTTTTAACAGTTACAGGAACTTGGCCTTTGTTGTTT